AAGAGACATATTTCCTTGAAGAGGCATCTTGCATATCTCATTTATTCATGAGTATTCATAAAGAGATCAAGACAACACATTTCTAATTACATTGTTACATTAAATATGTGGAGACAAGCAATGATATTTTTTTTTTAAGTCTTAGACATTGTACTTTATGAAGTAGATTTGAAGAACAAAGTTTTGTAACTTTGGAAACAACAATTTTAATATTTTAAAAACATAACGCTTGATTAATTAATTTAAATTCACAAATAAGTTGGTCAAATTTTTAAATATTCGAGTAATATGATCACATTTACACCCGCCAACTTTTAGCTTATAATCACACACTAGAATTTAAGTTGACAAAAGTACTTTCAATAGTGAAAATATAGTACTTCCTCTGTCCCTAATTACTTGTCTATTTTGACAAATCAAGAAAGAATAATTTTATTTACCTATTATACCCTCAATTAAATGACTAATTACTTTTTAAAAATGTAGAACTTTTCATCCACTTCATAATTAATAGAGGTAAAATGGTAAATTCACTATGTCATTAATTGTTTTCTTAATAGGTGTGTCAATTCAAAAGTAGACAAGTAATTAGGGACAGATGGAGCATATGATAAGTTGATGACGATTCTGTTGAACAATTATTGGTGGTATAACTTGTCTTATTAAGGATGATATTCATAAATTATGGAATAGGTTGGTAGGTTGTGTTCCCCATTTGAAGCACACAAGTGATGGGCCATATTGAATGTTTTACATTTACATTTACATTAGCATAAAAAAGGGACCCCTTTGGCTTTTAACTTGACTTGACAAAAAGTATGTGAAAAGGATATGTCTCCTCCATTCCCTTCTCCTTCTTTTAAGAAAGGCTACCAATGTTTGCTTCCATGCCCACAACAAACATTCCTCCTTCTTGCTCTTTTGCTGCCTAACCTCCCTTCCCACCCTTTTTTGTTATTCATGATTTACTAGTACTTTTTTAAGATGGGGTCAATTAAAGATCAATTTTATGGTCCATTCCAATTATACAAATGAAATACATGAGATTTTTTATAAGATTATTTCTTCTATTTAAAATTATACAAAAATAATATATTCAGTGTGATTTCATAATTGTGGTCTGGGGAATGTGGTGTATACGTAGTCTTGTCCCTATTTTTTGAAAGTAGCTAGAAAGACGGGTTATTTCTGATATATCCTCGACTCAAGTAAAAATATATAATGAAGAGGAAATATAAAAGTATAGAAGTGGGAAAGGAAACAATAATAACAGATAAATGTGATAATCGAATAAAATGAAACAACATACAACAACAACAAATGAAAAAGACTATAACAATATTTCTTCACCCCGAACGAAAGGGAGAAGCTTTATATTATTAGAAGTACCATATTTGCTTATAATTTGTTCACTAAGGTTCTATCGATTAGTATTACACAAAATAATTCTTCCTAAGAATCTCGTGTTATCTTTAGAAATCGCATATGTTATTTCTCCATATTCTCTTTAGTTTTTCTCCGTTCGTGTGAAAAGTATCATATAAATAAAATAATATTTATAATCAATTATAAAACTAAATCTCCCAAGAATAGTCCCAGATTAGTAGTCTTTCTTTCGACTAGGTTATTTGGTTTAAATTGTGTGAATATGGGTGAATTCTAATTGAAATTTGGGTGTTATTATATAGTTTTTAGATTATTTATTTGATCTATATGTGTGAGAAATACTTGCAACTATTATTTATAATCGAAAAATACTTTCTAAACTCATTTATACATATTTTTTGTTATTTAAAAAATGGGAAATCGTGAATATCGTTATATTCACGTGAGTGGAAAGAAATTGATGACTCTTTATAATATTAGTTATAATTTATATTTATTAAATATGTTTTTAAAAATTATGATTTATGTCTTTGCTTTATCAAGCAAAATCATTAAACTTTATTTTATGTCAATAAAATTACTCAATTTAAAGTCTTTATTTACAAAAATCACTCAACAACATTTATTATTAAAATAAATTTGAAATGACAAAATACATTATATATCATACAAATGTGGACCCCGCAAATAAATATTTTTTTCAAATCTCATTTTATCCCATTTATCACTGATCCCGTCCTTTAATTTGTTTTCCATCACAAATGAAAATAAATAATTTTTGGGTATGAAATCCAAATTTATTGTATGATACAGTCAACTAATGGATTAGATTCATTACGTGATGTATTTGAACATACTTCATGACCTCAAATCCTTAATGTTAAGTCTACCACCGTTATCATGATCTTTTAACATAATTGTCATTATTAAAGTCATGTTATCACAATCTTTTGTATGCTTTTATGAACTGTAACGAATCGTTCGGTTGTTACGGGTGAATTAATTGTTAAAAATTTGGGTGATAAATTTTTTGGAGTGGTGAGCTAAAATTTTCAGACTACGCTAGACTCAAACCAATCTGAGCAAGGTGAAGCCTAGGGTAATTTGGAAAAGGATTGAGTAAAATGTTTAAGCATGAGCTTATTTTTCTATTAGCTAAGACATTAAAGAGTTTTTAGAGCTTTTCGGAATTGAATTCGAGTAAGTAGAACTCTCGATATGGAACTTGGCGGGAAGGGGTTGGTTTGGAACGTCAAGGTGTAAAGCTGTGTTACAAAATGATTTTTTTTGGCGGGACTTCCAAATTTCTGTCTTGTGCAAGCCGCTACAATATGTGACTCGTCGCTATGGCGCCGCCGCACTATAGGGGTTAGTCGCAGTGTAATGCATAAAATTCTCAAAACCGTATATTATTTGACAATTTCTTTTGGGAAAGAGCAAGGGACCTAGGGCAATTTTTCTTTGTTTTTCATCATAATCATCGGCGAAGGTAAGTTAATTACTCCTTACCTTGATAATTCGATTTTTTGGCCTTAGAACCCATGGTGGTTAACCTAGGGGAGGGTTTGGGTTGGTATTATGGAGGGAAAATCCTAGTTTAAGCATAATTATTGTGGAATTGGCTTGAGGTTTGGATTTGGTATAGTCTAGATATAATTAGGTCATGAGAGGTTAATTTTGTGTTATATATTGTTAAATCAAGAATAAGCCAAAATTCATAATAATAAGGGGAAAACTCAGGTTCAAGCAGGGACGGACCCACATAGAATCCGTCGGGTGCTCGAGCATCCATTAACATCGTCTCGGAATATATATATATCTATGTAGTAATTAAGAACAAATGAATTGATTGGTCCAATATATGGCTCTTTGGTGGGTGCTTAATGCTCTTTTAGTGTTGATGAGCTCGGTTTCGAATCTCATTTTTATATTTTTGATTCCGCCACTTTCAGAGCACCCACAACCTTAAAATTCTAGATCCACTGCTTCCAAGGCTTGATTCGAGGTAGGTAATGGTTGTTTGTTTTCCATTTATATTATATGTGCTTGTTAACTGGTTCGTTAGTATTACAACATACATCAAATGAAGTTTATCATTTTTTTCTTGCTCTCCATGACATTTAACAAAACCTATCAATAATTACGCCAAAAAAAAGGAAGAGAAAAAAGCCCTATGATCAACTTTATAAGTTAAAAAACTTAAACTAAATAAGAAAAGACAGACAGTTGAAACACCACTAGCAAATAGCAATCTGATTAAAACTATAGTGGCTAGGCAGACTTAACCTCTGCATAACACATCAAATTAGTTGGAGACAGTGACTGCAAGAGACCATGCTTGTTTGCTGGAAAAATGCTTCCACCCAACTCCTTCCAATGGCTTGTGGCTAAAAATAATAGGCTGCCCCCCACCATAACCATATACATAATAGTGTTTTAATAGACGGAGGCGTAAAGTGAGATATTTTATCTAATCGATCAGACACATATTAACCCTTCCTATAATTTTTGTATATTTAGGCATGATAATAGATTTAATGTAATTATAGGTCACTAAACTCTTCACTAAAGAGAAATTAGAAATACATTATATAAATTAGGGAAAACTACACAAATTAGACTCATTAGACAAAGTATTTACTCAAATTGGACTCGACCCAATATATTTACTGTTGTTGAACCCACAATCCAAACTAGTTATCTGACTAACTCCCTTGTTTAATTCTATTCACCAAACTACTGTTGATATCATCAGAGTATATATATACTCTGATGCTATCTATATACTCTGATAGTATCAAATAGTAATTGAACAATTTTTTCACTGTAACTATAGTTCTTCTTTTATAAGGACAATATAAGCGGATCACCTTGATTATTCCACGAGATAAAACTAACTTCTGCCACCATAAATATCGAGTAACTCAGTTCACCAAAGTCCAAAACTTTGGCAAAAAGAATGTCTTACAAAAGTTGTAAACCTCTATGGTCACTCATCATGCAAAATCTCCATGGACCCCACACTTTACCATTCATAAACATAGGGTACTAATAATTTTAATTTCCATTAACCACACGACCAACAGAATCTATAGAATCGAGGTTTCCTATGTGGACTCTTGTCGTATCTTGTTGCCGTGGCGAATTGTGTGGTGAAGAGTTTTTTTTTTTTTAATGAGATTCAAGGTGACATTTTTAATTCCCTCTTACACTATGATCAAGAATGTTCAATGCAATATAATATAATCAATTACTATATGAAAAGCTATAAACCCAATGTGGTCAGAAAATTACTTTCCTACTTCCTAGATATATACTACTATTTCTCAATCTCTGTCTTTTTGTGAAAACAGACCCATAAAGATTGGTGCTTCTTCCAAAATGTCTTGTGGATGCCTCTTTTACCTTAAGACTACATATTGATTTTAAATAATGAAAAGGAGTCAATAATAGTAATTTTTCTGGCACTAACAATGATAACTGAACTGTAAATCTGTTTTATGTTCCAGAAAAACAAACAACAAAAAAAATATTCTGCATCAAATTATGTAGTAAACAACAACAACAACAACAAAAAAAAGTGAGTAGTAAACAACAACATTATGCAGCAAACGAAATGCAAAATCTATGATACATTATTCTGGAAAAAGAATAAAAAGGTTTCCCCAACAGTGAGAATAATGTACAAGTGTAGCTATATAACATTCAAAGTTTCAATTAAAGCGAAAAAAGAGAAAAAGAATATAAATGATCCTACAATCCTCCTAATCAAACCCCAAATCGTATGACAGCTTATTATTTTTCCTTGAAACTAAGTATACTTGTAGCCCTCTGACTCAACCGAACACTCAGAAAATGACATTCAGCTCAGGTAATGTTCAATTGTTCGGTGAAACTTATCTGCCATTGAAGTGCCAACCGGCCCTACCAAGGGTGGTCAACCGTATCCTGAAGGTGCAGGACAGATGTGCTTCCTATGGAAAGAATACAAGAATCTTGTTTTCTCACAGTTCAATGAATGAAATCTACAATGTACTGCCTCCAATAACCTGTTAACATACACAGTCCTCATGGATGTAGGATTGCAAACCGAAGTTGAGAAGTAGGGCAAGGATCAGGGTATTGGGAGGAGAACATGACGATGAGAAATGCCTTCACTGATTGTAGTTAGTACATTCCCTTAAATACAGGGTTTGTGCGACATATGCTAGCTCCATATTCCTCATATTCAGCCTTTGTATGGCAAGCCTGATATAAGGAAACAACTAAATAGGTCAGACTTCGCTGACCAGCCATTTACAAAGAGTAACTTCAGTTGCAGTTATAAAACCTAAGGTAACAGAAATCGAATAATTAACTTACTGCAAAAAATTCAGGAGTAGAAGCAAGTACAGATCCTCCAAACCAAACTGCATATCTCTGAATAGGATGGCTGACCACATTCACTTCAACTGGTTGTGCCTGAGTGAATATGTTTTCAGTAGGCGAGCATCTTTAGGTACCAGAGACCAAAGATTCATTCATCAATTAATTCAGATAAAAATTAAAGAATAAATGCTTACTTTTACATTTCCACCTAACCGAGCATCTGATGCAAGAACACGAGCATCCACAATCTTCTTGATATCTCGTTGCAATCTTCTATGGAAGTCTTTGAACATGGTGGATCCTCCAGATAAAACAATATTCTAGTATTTTACAAGGGCATAATATCACATACACATTCAAAGAATTATTTCAAAGAGCGTGATATCAAGATCATGACTTTTAACTCAACCATATAAGGGAGACTTTTCTACTGGTTACACATTGCTGGATCACTTGATTAACGGAAATCTTATATATTTAATCAACAATAACTTTACCTTATATAAAGCTCTTCTTGTGTCTATAGGTGCAGACTGAATACATTTGTCTATCACATCAGGTAAAGGAGTTGTAAAATCACTGTTATATATTTCGGGATTGAAGAGAACCTGCAAAAACCAGTTCTTAAATCAGAAAGGTGTTCACCCAACCTAGCGATAATGCATCACCTCTACAAGCTTTGTTTTCTTATTTAGCTATAACTATGTTGATTATGTGGTCCAGCCCTTCCCTGGACCCTGTCCATAACGGGATCTAGCATCAGGTTGCCTTTGTATGTTGATTATAAGACCTTTAGAGTTCACTCTGCCATGCAGCAAACCAGCAGTATATGAGGCGTACAACTGTAAATAATTGGGGCAATGTCTACAACTACATGATTTTTCAGCTTAAAACAAGCTGCAAGAAGACCTTGGGAGCTTGAAATTATCAGAGACTTGAAACACAGAGCACACCTCGGGACCAAGAAATCGCTCATAGCCAACATCACATGAATAAGGTGCTCCTGTCTTTGGTTTTGTACCTCTCCAATGTTTTATGTACTTCCCTGGCTCTTTGTCATGCTTATTAAACTCCTGAAATCATTTGCAGCAACAAAATAAATCACAAGTGATCCTCAGTTGCTAATTTCATTCTCAGATGTAAGAAGAGGATGATAAGCAGCTTAAATCTTGACATAATTAGTTGCTCTCATTCTCAGGAACGTAGAACCTATGTTGCTCGAACTCTTCAAAAATGTCCCCAGGTGAGTGTCGGATCCTTCAAAAGTAGTGCATTTTTGGAGGATTCGACACGGGTGCGGCAACATTTTTGGAGAGTCCGAGCAACTTAGCGTAGAACAGATTCTTCAACTCAAGAGTAGGATGGAAGAACAACATGCAGGGTAGGCATTATCACAAGGAACTTCAAACTTTTATTTTTCCTCTTAATCAAGGTTCTTTTTCCCCTTTCCACTAGCTGTATATTAGACAATGTTACAACCAAATCATACCTTGACAATGTCTGAACAAGTGTAACAATACATTTCCTTCACTTTCCGGGCTACTTCGAAGGAATCCTCCGGTGGAACATGCTCCCCCCTTTCCTACATTGAATCAAATAGATTAGATTGAACATTTAAGAGATGACTTGCTAACACGCACCTTTTCAAAATTTCAAAGTTCAAACTGAGACCTCAAAACATGTCTGTGCGCTGGTACCCGAAAAGTCAATTTGGAGTGAAGCACATGAGGAAACACTAGACAAACCCGATTTTGGAATCAAAACTCTAAAGAAATAAAAACAGATGCATAGCGTAAATCAACCAATGTAGTGGTACTGCAATTAGTGAAAATATGTTGTAGCCTTGTAGGTTTAGCGATAGAGAATTAATTGGGAACTGCTGACAAAGGATGTTCTTTTTAACAATTTTTCCAAGATGATGCTTGCTACAACAAGTAACAAGGCACTCTCCCAAACTTAAATTTTCCACTTGCAAAAAAGAAAAATGCTGTAAGGCCTCAGTTATATTTTTCAGGCAAAGAATGCTCTGATCCGTTACCAAGAATCTGTATGCAAAGAGGAAATAAACAAAGAACAGCTATCCTGTCCACACATAATAACATATCTTCTTTTTGATGAAATAAGTGAGATATCATCATGTTATGAACAAAATATTGAACCTAGGTATTGCGACTCGCACCATAATCACTACAACTAGAGGAGCTTGCACACTAAGGAATATATTTCCCCCTTCTACAGTTTATGAGTGTAGTCATTTCTAGAGGTTGCAATTACTACATAGTTTCCATATCTTTTTTTTTAATAAAATAATCTTGTTTTTTAAATATCTTGGATCCTCTTTGAACTCCAATTTATTTTATCACAAGTCATAACAAGGAAACACCAAATGTCAGGATATCAGAATTCTATTTCATTTGTCCCACTTGATTCTATATTTAACAAGTTCTATTTGTCTACTAGATAGGAAACAAATTAGGCGAGGAGTTTTTTTTTTTTTTATTATTATTATTATTTTTAGGCGAGGAGTTGAATGAAGAGAAACAACACATTTTTTTCTTTCAACCAATTCTGAGAGATGCCGTACATACCCTCATGAGCTGTTGAATGAAGAGTGTAACGTCTCTTCCAGCAATAGGGATTGACTTAATGCTGCTCCCGATAACATAACCGTCAGCAACAGGTACAACATGAGTAGCACCATCTCCAATATCCACTACAACTCCAGTCATCTCACACTAAAAAAAAAGGACAACAAATATCTGCTTAATATATCAAGAAATTTTATGCAGATCTAATAGAAGGCCAGTCAAGAAGTAGACAAAAAATAAATACATACGTATTAAAGAAGTAAGTAATGGATACTGGATGTACCAACAACAGAATGTGACCAAAAACTTAGCAGTTTCTCTTCATAGCTCAAGAAAAAGCGAAAAAGGAACATCTAGGGTCTAACTGAAGATGTGATACGAACTTGCTAGGGCCTTTATAGTATTCATTTCAGGTTCCTAGCATGTTATAAATTATAATGCTAATATTGACGGTGGCCCTTAAGAATTGGGTGATGGCTATTGCAAAACTCGTTTCTGGTTATGATATTATGGGAAATCTTTCCACATCCTAATATATGTAGCATTTTTGGCTTAAACACGATAACATCTCATTGAAAAAGTAATGATTTCGACCACATAACCAGATCCTTTTATTATAAAGATAGGGGTATCAATGCTTCTCTGTAAACCAACAGAACCAAACCTTACCAAACTGATTATTAGTTTAAAACCACAGGTTTCGATATAAATCTATAACCGTACCGAATGATTGGAGTAGGTTTTTTTACTTTGTATATTAAATTTATAATGAAATATTATAATTTTTGCCTTGGTCCTAGGGATGGATGCGGATTGAAATTGCTACAAGTAACACCCAAACATACTCTACTACTATTAAAAGGGAAAAGGGTTAAAAATGCCCTTAACGTATCTCAAATGGTTCAAAAATGCCCTCCTTCCACCTTTTGGTTTAAAAATGCCCTCAACGTTTTTTAAGGTTTAAAATTGCCTTTTATTAACAGCACAATGACATGGCAATTGTGACATGGATTTTCTTTATCTATTTCAAAATATATGACCCACTTAGTCTAGAAATCCATTTCAAATTTGACCCGATATGACCAATTAATTTTGGATCTTTTGTTCCCGTTTGTTCTAACTCTCTTCTTTCTTCCTACCTCCTTCAGTTCGTCTTCTTTTTCCATTTCTCAGTTAATTTCAAGAAGAAAAGGAAGGAAGAACTACAAAGAATAAGGTTAGCTAAATCTTGAATTTGTTACTTGCTGACATTGAAACTTTCAAGAAGAAAATAAGATTTATCTTCCTTTGGTTCTGAAGCCTCCTGCTTCCAACTATAAACACCACCATTCAAGCTAATGACCAACCAAAAAATCCAATTCCCAAGAAAATGAGCCATAAAAACAAAAGCTTCATTTGCCATCTCCACCCACAATTTGGTCCTAGCAAAGACTCTCTGGCCTTCTTCAGCCTAAAACTTGAAGAGAAGCTCTAATTCGTGCCCAACAATTTGCAATTTACAGACATCTTTAATAGAATCCCCCTACATATCTTCAGAAAATGCCTTGAAAGCTTAGGAGCAAATCGACCCAGAGCAGAAAAGCTCATTAAAAGTCAATAATTGACCTGAATTTCAACAATTCTCAAGCAAAAACATCTCATTATTCCAACATAAAGCTGAAACTGATCAATATCAAGATTCTGCTGTAAACCCACTTTCACAAACTCCTAATCAAACTCCTAAAAAAGCAAAACATTACCTAAGTTGCAGAGTAATGGAATCAACTGTAGTAAAAAATTAGAAGAAACAAAAAGTATTATACTGAAGAACATAACTAGAGGTGTTGTGATTTGCAACCCTCAATCGCCATCGTCGGATGCTACAAAAGGGGTTGAGAGTCGTCCTAAAATGGAGCTCAAAGATAAGATAGGTTAATATGAAAATGGGTTTTGGGTGGGTTTAAGTTTTGTAGCACAGATGGGTCGGGTCGTTGGGCTGGATTTTAAAAATTAGGTGGACCAATAAGATAAAGTCACTTGGCTAATTAAATGAGTCATCATTTATTATGTTAGTGGGCTGTTAATAAAGGACAATTTTAAACCTTAAGAAAACGTTGAGGGCATTTTTAAACCAAAGATGGAAGGAGGGCATTTTTTGAACCATTTGAGATACGTTAAGGGCATTTTTAACCCTTTTCCCCTATTAAAATTAAAGGATTCTGACAATCTTAGTACTTTTCTTGTCAATACTTCTCTTTTCTAAGTATTTTCATTAGAGCGTTTTTCACTCTTGTATTTTTCATGCCTATTTTAAAAGCAATTTTCTTGAGCCGAAGGTCTATCGTAAACAACCTCTTTGCCTCACACAAGGTAGGGCTAAGGTCTACGTACACTCTATCCTCCCCAGACCTCACTAATGGGATCACATTAGGGTTGTCATTGTTGATTTTGAATCTGGCAATCTTTAAAAGGAAGCCACCAAATATATCAGGGAATGGGAACCATATCAGATTCTGGCTAGACAAATGGACAGGAGACTCCACTAGCCTTCCCAAATATATTTAACATCGCCAGACATCCTAATTATTGTATTGCTCAGTATAGGGATGACAACTCTTGGAACCTGAACCTAAGAAGAAATTTGCAAGATTGGGAATTTAAAGAGTTATTGAATCTGCTCAAAAGCTTATAGAACTGCAACATTAACATTCAGCGCAGTGATAAGTTAAAATGGAACTTCAACAGCAAAGGTTTATACACAGTCAAGGCAGGATATGAACACTCGAGCCCCAATAAAATGATGATTGATCTATGGCCCTGGAAGTTAGTCTGGAAGACTAAACTTCCCCCTTAAGTCTCGTGTTTTACTTGGACAGCCTTAAAAGAAGCATGCCTCACTCAAGACAATCTTATGAGAAGAAAATTCAACTGGTCAATAGGTGTTACATGTGTCAGTTAACTTCAGAAAGCATCAACCACCTCATGCTTCACTGCCCTTTTGCAACACACTTTTGGAACATGTTCCTAGCGCTTTTTGGTATAAGTTGGTCCATGCCCTTCAATATCAGAGATGCCTACACTAGTTGGAGCTCTATGGAAGTTAGAAAATCCATCAGGAAAATCTGGATCATGACCCCAGCTTGTATTTTTTGGGTTATTTGGAATGAAAGAAACAGGAGATATTTCGATGCAGTTTTAACTTCAATTTGTAAGCTTAAGGCTAGTTGTTTGGTTAACCTTTTTAGTTGGGCCAACTTCTCCCCTGTATTTACTTAGATCACTACCTAGATTTTGTCGGCTCCTTAGCTATATAAGGTTTTTTGTTCTTACTGAGCTGACAGATCCCCCCTTTTGTATCTTTGCATCTACTGGATGGCTTAATGAAATCTCACTTCATCAAAAAAAGAAGCAAGCCACCAAGGTATGTTTTCCCCCCCTCCTCTTTTTTTGTGAATTTTGAATCAAATATCAAGTCAATATTTCTTTTCCAGAAAGTCTTAAGTAATGGTACATGTTATTTTTTCAGATTTTATGTCTTTTGAACTACAAACTTTCAGTTAGCAACTCAATAATTTTGTTTTAAGGTGGAGCAATATTTTGTTTAGGTAAAGAGTGTATTGGGAGTGCACATGTTGCATTATTATAATCTTTGTCCTGTATATCAAAAACTTACAAGGGCATTGCATATGTACAAAGCTCTTGTACTCAACATTAAAGCTTGTTATTATTTTACATAACAAATGAGACAACCTAATAACACTGACTCTTTCTTGACGTTTTGTTTTTGATAAGGTAACTTTTACTTGATGTTTTGAAAATAAATACTGAAAATAAACCGAATCGTATCGATATCAAAGAGAAATTGAGATGATTGGCACATTTTCGAAAAGTCTAACTTTAGTAATACACAATAGAGTAACCGAAAATGATATGGTATAAATTTCTTGAACAAACCGGATGAACCGAACCAACAACATCCCTAATAAAAGATAGTTGAACTCTTTCACTACCTTCACCTTTTCCTTGAACTTGATTGACCAGGGTTTATATCTTGGCATTAGTCATCTTACCAGAAATATATCCTGAATTTTCCCCTTCTATCTTGCTTCTCCCCCTCTCCATTTCCCCAACCCATTAATCTACCCTTTTTATCTTCTTTTTTTAGTTTACTTTGCTTTAGTTCTTTTTCTTCTGTTACTCAATTTTCCCTAAGGCTCGATAGGTCACTTCCTGCCGGCAAGCATTGCTCAGTAATACTTTTGTCAGAAAGGCAAAATTTATTAATTAAACAGCACCAAGATTGTGCTGACCAGAAACTCTTAACTCTCCATTTCTTTCTTCTTCTTTTCTAGTTCTTTTGTTATCCCTTCCTCATGTCTTGATTCTTTGGTTTTTAATTGTTTTCATACAGTTTATGGTATCCATATAAATAGAATATACAACTTGCTTTTACAGTTCTTGCCCAATCTTCCTAAGGAACATTTATAGCAGGCATAACACTTAGTTATCCAAAGGCGAATGATCTAAATTCCATGAAAATAAGTTAAATGGGTAGAATGCCAGAAAAAAGCAAAATAAAATGAACATGGTGCACTCTAAGGTTATTATCATAAATATAAGTAAGTTTCATCTGCATTTTAGAGCATTGGCACAACCCTCACAGATGAGTAGGACCTTGGCATGTTTGACGAGCTCTATCTTACCCACTCTAATTGTACTTGCACTAAAAGACATTAACAAAATGCAAACACTCATACTGAAAGTAAGAGATAACCATCTATCCTGGCTGCTAAACTTCATCCCACAACAGAGGTAGAGATATTCGGTAAAAGACGACTTAAGTCAGAATCTATAACATTCCGTATCATAATCAATTAATAATGTTGTAAGTAAGCATAGATCAGCCTACCAATGGACTACTGATTGTATCATTTCCCGGATAAAGTGCAAATAAGAGCTGCCATACTATATTCCATATTATATCAACTCGTGCTCTTATTTTTATTTAACTGGTCAAAGCAAATTGTCACCTACAAGACAACAATTGTTATGACTAATAAAGGAGGAAACGAATTCCTACAAGTCTATGACCAATTACAATTTGAATAGAAGAAAATGACACTACCTACAAAGATCTCGTGTTTTATTTACCAATCTCCTATGAAAATGACAATATAAGTAAAAGAACATTTGTCATTGGCCATAAAACCAATCTCCCCTAAGAAAGAAAGAGAGTTTCCTGCTCTGGTGCACTTACTATGTTATCAAGCTACTCTTTAGCTAAGCAAAAATAAGTCTAAATTTCAGAAACATAATGAACTTTTGGTAATAAAGCAGACACAGCTGCATATGTTACTCTTTTACAGATGAAGCAAGGCCAGTCATAAATAATGTGTAAATTAGTGCTCCTAATGTACAAATAAAATCCATTTTTTATCATCTTTAACACAAAACAGCTCCTTCTTGTAACCCCTTACATATTAAAAGATCCAAATTACTTGGAAAAGCTATTAACTTATAAGGTTATTTCTGTTGGTTAAGGTGCCCTGCAACCAAAGTATTATGTGGAAATGTATACTAGCGGAACTTTCAAACACATAAGCTACTAACCTTAGATGTTGTATACCCAGCCGCCAAAGCAAGCACCGGCTGCACAGCAATATAAAGCCCCGGTATATTGAAAGTCTCAAACATAATCTCACCGGTATATTCTCGACTTTCTGGTGCAGTCATGGGGCTTTCAGTCAATAAAAAATAGTGATCCTCAGGGTCACAACGAAGATAATTAAATATACATTGCTGCCAAAAACGCTCCATAGCATCCCAATTATCAACTTGACCATGTTTAATAGGATAACTAAGATTATAAGTATTACTAGATTTAGATCTAGTCAATGCCTCTTCCCCAATAAAAAAATCCAGATCCGCCATAACCCCTGCACTATGCTGCGCTAGCCAGTTGCTGTTCTTAGTCGTAGCTCGAGTCTGATTCAGAAACGACTCATTAACAGCAACCACCGTCGGTAAAATAAAACTTGGTTCAACATTTCCAGCAAAACCCAATTTAGTATACCTGAAAACATAAATAAACATCATTAAGGAATTTCATCAAACAGTTGGTGAGCAGATAAAAGAACCAATGATTCAACGCATACCCAGTTCCATTATCAATGACTAGAGCAGGGCGAGAGGTAGCAGGGTCCATTATCATGGTTGTTGAAACAAAGAAAGGGGTGGCGACAAATGCAATACTAAAAAGAAGATGATAATGGAGGTGGGTGAAAGATATAATCCATCCATTTCAATGAGAAAGGTGACAAGAATTGAAGTAGCAGTAAAGAGAGTACTTAGGAATATTCATCAAACAGTTGATCACTATTATACTCTATACTCAATTATAGCTTTGGTCTCACTGTCTATTGGGTGTTTTCGATTCGTTTCTTAGCAATCAAACAATTCAGCTTTCAGACCCCCCGACGTTTTGTGTCTTTGGTCTGCTGTCGTACCGCGGGTCACCTCCCCAAATAGGATCAACTTTCCCATACTTTTTCAAATACACTAAAACCAGAGTTAGAATCTGTTTGGATTGACTTAAAAAAAAAAAGTTTTTAAATCAAAAATAATAAGTCAAATTGAAATAATTTTTTTAAGTCAATAAATAAAAAATGGGGGAGACCTACTTTTGGTTTTTAATTTATTTTAAGTCATTTTTTACCTTATCAAACACTTTTCAACTTATTTTTTATATTTGCCAAATAATTCCAGAAATAAAAAACAGACTTAAAAGTAGGTTTGACCAACTTTTAAGCCAATCTAAACACCCTCTTAATATCTCGGTCACTCAACTATCAACTATTCTCTCACAAAGTCACTCAACTTTATATTTTAACTCAAAAGTCACTCAATTTTATATTTTTTTAACTCAAAAGTCACTCAACTATCCACTTTTCTCTCAGAAAGTCGCTCAACTTTAAATTTTAACTCAAAAGTCATTCAACTATCAATTGTTATCTCAGAAAGTCATTCAACCTATTTAATTGATATTTTAATTAAAATTTGCTAATATAATTTTTTAATTTAAAAACCAATTTTTTTTTTAAAAAATACCATTTAAACCATTTAATGACCCAGCTCACTTAATTCGGCCCGTTAAAAATATAATATTGACCCATTTTATTTTACCCATTCTCCTACCTTATTCACTCTCTTTCAGACTCTTTCTCCTCTTTTCCTTTGCGTTTTTTTTTCTTCTGGTTCTCCATTGCTGCCTCTTCTTCCTCTTTTAGCTAATTAGGGCATCTCAATTTCGAAGTTCTATATTAGGTAGGAAATTAAAAGAAATCATCTGATTTAAAAGAGTCAAATTAAAGGAATCTGATAATTAGAATAAAAATATGTGCTTTGGCCATATTCAACTCTTAACTTGTAATAATTTGCTTTTTGGTTGGAAGAATCATATGAACCAGAATCTCCATAGTCAACTCTCGTTTCCTCTCCACTGCACAGATCTTTCTGGTTCCCTTTTTCTCTCTAATTTTTTACTTCCTCGTAATTGTTCTTTATTATTTTCGTTTTTACTTGTTACGTACGATTCATTTTGCTTAGTTGTGTTCGTTTTTATTGTGTAATGAAGATAACTGCCATTTCTTCAATGGTTGCAACAATTTACATGAGAATATTTATGAAGGAGACGAGCGGCCGTATTGATAGTGAACCTCTAAATCAAACCATATTACGACCAAAAAGCAAATCAGACTTCTGACATATAAGCTCTATTTGTGCCGGTCTGAACCGATGCATTAGATTCTTATAATTTCCTACATTAGAAATTGAGATACCCTAATTAACACTCAACTAAAAGATAAAGAGGCAGCAATGGAGAACCACCAAAAAAAGCAGAGGAGAAAGAGTTCGAGAAGAGAGTGGAATGAGGTAGGAGAGTGGGTAAAATAAAATGGGTTGATATTATATATTTTTAACGGGTCGGGTCATTAAATGGTATTTTTTAATTTTTTAAAATTTTGGATTTTAAATAAAAAGAATTATATTAGAAAATTTTTATTAAAATATCAATTAAATAGGTTGAGTGACTTTCTGAGAGAACCATTGATAGTTGAGTGACTTTTGAGTTAAAATTCCAAGTTGAGTGGCTTTCTCAGAGAAGAGTGGATAGTTGAGTGAATTTTGAGTTAAAATACAAAGTTGAGTGACTTTCTGAGAGAATAGTAGATAGTTGAGTGACTTTCTGAGAGAATAGTAGATAGTTGAGTGACTTTCTGAGAGAATAGTAGATAGTTGAGTGACTTTCTGAGAGAATAGTAGATAGTTGAGTGACCATATAAGATATTAACTCCTAAAACGGCGAGAGAGGTGAATAATTTGATGTGAATCACACTAGATACATAGAAGAAATGACAAGAGAATTTGTTATGTATATCATATACATATGAATCCAATTATATATAGTTATTTAGAACAGATTATATCTAATAATGATTTCATGTATCTCGGTATACATATGTCTGGACGTATCTAAACACATAAGATTTATAGTATTGCAAACTAAAGTGCACATCTAAGTAATTAGCTCCTAACATAATATGATTTCTGTAAATTTTTCAAAATATTTGGATTGCTAATAGTTATTCTAAAATTGGGATAGAGGGACTATTAGTTTTGTGCTCCTAAAAAATGTGAATTTTTTTTTTTTATATTTTTCATTAATTCATTTATTTATTTTAGTTACCCTAATTTAGGTAAGATTTAATTAAAAAAAATTTAAAGTGAATATATTTCTTTAATATTTTTAATTCTTTTATTTATTTTAATCATCATAATTTAAGTAAGATTTATATAAGATAAAATATAAATTTTATATTAGAATTTTAATATAGTTCAAATAAGAAAAAATTAAGAAGCAAAATTTTAGTCACTTTTAAAGTCCTAAATATTAGGATAAAACTAAAGACAAATATTTGAAAAGAATAGTAGACAATTTTGCCTATTATAAATTTTTGGGATAATGGTTTGAAAAATACCTCAACTTTGGTCGGATTTGCTGTTGCGATACTAAACTTTCATGAGGACCTATTACCTCCCTAAACTATTTAATACCGTATTTTAAACATATATATTTGCCCATGTGGACATAAAAAATAATGCAAAATTATAAATAGTAATGTGTCCACGTGGGCACATATATACCTTTAAAATACACTATTAATAGTTCAGGGGGTAAAAAATATGGTATTAAATAGTCTAGGGAGGTAATATGTCCTTATGAAAGTTTAGTATCGCAACAGCAAATCCGACCAAAATTGAGATATTTTTCAGACCCTTATCCCTAAATTTTTCTAACCTCCATGATTTTATGATAATATTGATTAACTTAAAAGTTAGAGGAAAAATCTACAAGATTGCATATTTTCTCTGAGAATTTGACATTACACAAAATTAACTAACTAAATAAATAAAAAGATTGTCATGTCATTCTTAATAAAGGTGGCTTTTTCCGTACATCCAAAGGGTAAATTGGTAACGTCTCTTTTTCATTCTTCTTGCGTTGCCACGTGTTTCTACTTCCATTTACAGCAATGTACGTGTTGTATTTTTGTTCTTCTACATTGATTGTTTATTTCCATGGATAAAATACCAAATTCATTCTGTGCTCTAATCAATTCTCCAGAGATTTGTTTTTTCGAACAAAAAAGGTATACCTCCTATCTCTGTGTTGTTTATTTCCTGTGTTAAGTTTCCGCTTTTAATCGAAAGTATTAACAACTAATTATCTTGTAAAATACAAGTCTTAACTACAGTTAGTTAGTTAACTAACACTAGTTCAGTTCTTAACTAGTTTGTTGATATAACAGTTAGTTAGTTAGGATTATTTTATCTTCTAGAATCATTTTAGTCACATGTATATAATGATGTACTCATGAGTTGAAATGCAAGTTTTTCATTCTCTCTCAAATACAATTCTCTCAATTGTTTTCTCTCGATTGCCATTAATGGCTTCTCTGTTTTGATTCAACTAAACACTCACCATTGTTGTGAGTTTTGATAGAAAGTTTTTCCTGTCGGATTTAAGAACCTATACTGATATACATCTTTCCGTCTTTATTTTCTCTATTTATCTCTTGTTTAATGTTCTGTTTGTTAATTTAAGTTGTTACCTTCTGTTTAAGCTTAATGTTGTTTCGAGTCGGGAAAATCGATGGTTGTTATTCCAAAGATTTACAATAAGGAATACAGGATTTATAATGATACATAAAATAATATAATATAATGTTGTATACAGGATTTACAATAACTAAGTCTTTTTAAATAAAAAAAGAAGAAGAGAAAAATTGCAATTGTTTTTAATTAAAAATACATTCTTGTCGTCAAGAAGCCAAAATAAATATTTCCTCCATTTTAGTTTATTTGGTCTGTTTTAACTTGACATATAACTTTTTAAAAAATAAGAAGATTTTTGAATCTAGAAAAGGGTTAAAAGAAATATCATTAGACTATGAAATTTTTAAAAAAATTTCATTAATAGTCATATTTTATTGCTAATACTTTAATCCAATAATGTCTATATTGTTACTATAGGGTGAATAAGGCTCCTTTCATAATAAAAACGTATTGTTTTTTTTTTTATATAAAAAATATACATTATTTCCTAATATAATATTAATTTTAAAGAGCATTTTTAAAAATGTCTTTGACTAACATAAAAGTGGAAAGTAATCTTATTTCTTTTTCTTAATCTTTTTTATCAATAAAAATAAATTATATACTTTTTAAACTAATAATATAGGTCATACATAATGATCTTATGTATATGAAAATTAATGATGAGTTACAATATTTTTATTAGAAAAAACGTTTGAAAAGAAAAGAAACAACATGTTTATTAGAAAAATATATATTTTATTCAAATATAACAATATGGGCATCTTTTGGAAAAAAATATTATCGGGGTGGGGGTGGTGTAAGGGGGTGCATTTTATTTCTCGCCTAGTTTAAGAGCATTTTGACCATTTAAAATATGTGGAGTAACATAGCATAGAGTGGTTATATGAGGTCTATATGACTTGGTGTGTACAATGGAGAATAAGATTGCAAATGGGTGACAATATCAAGAAACTAAACTAAAGTTTTAGGTCAAAGGAATTCCTCAAACAAAGATTCGGGGTTAAAGAAATGGCTCGTATAGCACCTCACCCGTTTGAAAGGTTTAAACTAACCCATACCTCTGGGAAAAGTCTATGAATATGAGGTATATAATAACACAATGGTCGTATGTTAAGTTTTGAAGTCAAGAAAAGTAGCGAAGCAAAGGTCGGTAAAAGTTGTCGTAAGTTTCTCTAATAATTTTTTTGAACTTTGGGTCAAATGTGTCGAGTAATGTCAACATCTGGCCTATGACAAGGCCCACGAGGGGATGGGTGGCTCGGGTCAGAGTCATGATCGAACATGACGCTTGTTTGGTGGATTTAGTTAAGAAATAATGTTGTGCATTTGCTATCAGCTATAGCTTT